GTTCAAGCAATTCTCCTGCCTCAGCCTCCCGAGTAGCTGGGACTACAGGCACCCACCACCATGCCTGGCTTTTTGTATTTTTAGTAGAGATGGGGGATTCACCATGTTAGCCAGGATGGTCTCGATCTCCTGACCTTGTGATCTGCCTGCCTTGGCCTCGCAAAGTGGTGGGATTACAGGTGTAAGCCACCATGCCCAGCCTAAAGAATCTCCATGCTGTTTTCCACAGTGACTATACTAGTGTACATTCCCACCAAGAGTGTAAAAGTATTCCCTTTGACCACATTCATGTCAACATCTATTATTTTTTATTTTTTGATTATGGCCATTCTTGCAGGAGTGAGGTGGTATCTCATTGCGGTTTTGACTTGCTTTCTTTGATCATGAGTAATGTTGATCATTTTTCCATCTGCTTGTTCGCCATTTGTATATCTTCTTTTAATAATTGTCTATTCATGTCCTTAGCCCACTTTTGATGAGATTGTTTGTTTTTTCTTGCTGATTTAAGTTCTTTGTAGATTCTGGATATTAGCCTTTTGTTGGAAGTATAGATTGTAGAGATTTTCTTATATTCTGTGTGTTGTCTGTTTACTCTGTGTGAAAAAAAATATTCAGCAGAGTAAACAGACAACCCACAGAATGGGAGAAAATCCCACAGAGTACTTTAATTAAGGCCCATCTGTTTATCTTTGTTTTCGCTGCATTGCTTTTGGGTTTGTGGTCATGAAGACTTTGCCTAAGCCAATGTCTAGAAGGGTTTTTTTGATGTCATCTTCTAGAACCTTTATGGTTTCAGATCTTAGATTTATGTTGTTGATTTATCTTGAGCTGATTTTTGTATAAGATGAGAGATGAGGATCTAATTTCATTCTTCTACATGTGGCTTACCAATTATCCCAGCACCATTTGTTGAATAGGGTGTCCTTTCCCCACTTTATGTTTTTGTTTGCTTTGCCAAAGATCAGTTGGCTGTAAGAATTTGCCTTTATTTCTCAGTGCTCTATTCCATTCTATTGTTCTATGTGCCTATTTTATACAGTACCATGCTGTTTTGGTGACTATGGCCTTATAATATAGTTTGATGTTCTTTATTTTGCGGTCTATCATATGGTCTATCTTGGAGAATGTTCCACTGTTCTGTTCTATGCTGATGAACAGAATGTGTATTCTGCATTGTTGGGTAGAATGTTTGGTCAATATCTGTTGGGTCCATTTATTGTAGGGTATAGTTTAAGTCCATTGTTTCTTTGGTGATTTTCTGTCTTGATGACCTGACCAGTGCACTCAGTGGAGTATTAAAGTCCCCCACTGTTATTGTGCTGCTGCCTATCTAATTTCTTAGGTCTAGTAGTTTCATAAATTTGGGAGTTCCAGTATTAGGTACATATATATTTAAAATTGTGATATTTTTCTGTTGGACTAGCTATTTTATCATTATATACAGTCCTTCTTTGTCCTCTTTAACTGCTGTTGCTTTCAAGTTTTTTTTTTTTTTATATAAGGATAGCTACTCCTGCTCACTTTTGGTGTCCATTTGCATGGAATATCTTTTCTACCTCTTTACATTAAGTGTATGTATGTGTTAGGTGAGTCCCCTGAAGGCAGAATAACATTGGTTGGTGAATTCTTATCTATTCTGTATCTTTTAAGTGAAGCATTTAGGACATTTACTTTCAATGTGAGATTGAAATGTGAGGTATTGTTCTATTCATTGTACTATTTGTTGCCTGAATCCCTTGTTGCCTGAATCACTGCAACCTCCACCTCCTGGGGTCAAGCAATTCTCCTGCCTTTTCTTCATTGTGTTCTTGTTTTATAGGTCCTGTGAGATTTATACTTTAAGGAGGTTCGACTTTGGTGTACTTTGAGAATTTTTTTTGTTATTATGTGTTTACAACGATCATTTATTAAAAATATGCTGTATGTTAGGTTTGCCTTGGTTTATTTGCATAGTTTCTGCAATACCTACAACATTACTACATGGTAGCATCCTCATTATCATTTATAAAATAAAAGTCCTGAAGCTTTCTAAAGTTAAGAAACTGGATCACAGCGCTAGTCAAATTGAGAGTGGAACCTCAATTTGTTGAACTCTAAAATGTGCTTCACTACGTCATTCTCCTCTATTGCTCAGCAATCAATGGGCATATGAGCAACTTAGTTTCTCAATCTCTAATTTGGCCTTGGCTTAAATATCCTTTCACAGGATTGGTGCCAATATTAACAGTCTGGTTATCTTTAAGACAATATGTATGCTTTTAAAATACTCTTTCAAAGTAAATATTTTCATCAATTCTCCTACCAGTAGGGTTAGGAGGTTGAACTAATAAACTCTCAGTTCTGACATTTTCTAAATTGTAATTCTATTATATAATGGCATTAAGACAAGAAGACACATGAGAAAGATTGAGAAGCGTAATTCAGAGAGGTAGTAAGTTTCCCTACAACTTTAATGTCTTACTACAGCCTAATAGGTCTTGCCTGAGAAGTTCAGCCTCTTAATATTACTTTTTGTATAACATACTCTTGACAGCATTTATTATTAATGATCATCTGTGCGTTATGAAGGATAAAATCATGTGAATGGAATCCAAAAGTCAAACAACGGTCTCTCAGAAGCAATTGAACCTTATCCAACTGCAGCATAATTTTGGGACTGAACTAAAGAGTAGCACTAAAGAAAATGCTTTGCTTGAGGCAGTGATTTAATCTCTAAGGAGTGCCACCAGAAATAGAGATGGAGCAGGAGACAAGAAAAAGTGGTCACGGTATTAAGAGGCATTCATGGTCAATCCCACAACAGGTCAGTTGCATGTGCAACCCTCAACTTTAAATCACATGGATTCTGAAGGCTTGGACGCAGATATATTTCTTCGTTCAACACTCCCTAGCTCCTTGGTATTGGCAAATTCAGGTCCGTAAAGGGTCAAATGTGTTGAACTCCTGTCAAACTTTCCAGGGTGGGTTAAAGTCAATAATTTTCATCTTAATCCTGAGGCTGCACTGTGTTCAAGTTAGAAATCTACTCCATATGTTCATGATATTATTTCACGGAAGCCCCTAGAAGATTTCTTCATGAGAATTCTCTGAGGATTCCAAACCTCCTTGGCCTCTTAAGATTGATTTAACTTTAAAATTATAAATAAAAATATCTTTAGTTAAAATCAGTATCTCTTATTGAGAATCTAGTATATGCAAGCCACTTTTCCATGCATTATCTTATTGAATTCTCACAACCAGCCAGCAGATTGGAATGGAAGCATCTCCTTTTTCAGATACAAAGGCACAGATGGATAAACAGCCCCTCAAATGTGTCCAGCTGGCTTATGGCCTCTGCTGAGTGCCGAACTAAAGTCTATCTGTCTCCTAAGCTCGTATCCTTTTACTACATCACACTGTTTCTAAAGCTGGTTTCTTTTTAGATTAGAAAATGATAGTTATTCTCTTGAAATATGGGCTATTCCCTTGTTTAGAAGAAGATGAAGCCCAGAACCGTGTTCTCTGTTACCTAGCCCCTTTCCCAGCTGACCTGCCAGCCACAGTGACATTGAAATGTTATTATCCTCTAAAGAAAGACCTCTTTGTGTGGCTTTTTTAAAACTGCAAACTAGTCATTCTGGAGAAAAAAAAGGCAGGCAGCTTGAATTTGTACCCATAAGTTTGTTTTTGTGCCCATTACTCGTGTCCCTTTTCTTTAAACTGAACTTGTCAAACTGTTTTTGCAAGTATTCAAAATGTTGCCACCCATTTAGACCTCTCTAGAATATAAATTCTAAATGGTTTTGTATAGAACTGGAAAGTGTTAGTTTTGCTAACATTTAGAAAATTTGAAATTAAAATGGAAAGATGTGAAATGGTCAAAAAGGCAAGAGAAAAATCACCAGAGCCAAGATTACTTGCCCTGACTCACCAGCTCCATGGTTGCGTTTTCACTGAAGTTTCTGCTATCTTCTATCTTAAGAAAATGCAAATTTGAGTTACTCTTGCAAGATGCTAACGAAGTCAACTTTAAATCTAATAAAATAAAAAATATCCAGCAAATCCTCATGTAGAATTTAAAATAGGAAAATGAAAAGTCTAAAAGAAGCATAAATAATTTTTATGCACCTACTCTGTGCCAGAACCCTGCCAGGTATTTTAACCTAGTACCTCTTTCTCACCGTGACCCAAGAAAGCAGGCTTTATTCTCATTTCATAAATGAGGCATCTAAGGTCTTAATATCTGAGGTCATATATCTTGCCCAAGGTCACACAAGAAAGAAGTAAATAGAAAACCTAGAATCAGAACTAAGCTCTACCTCCAAAACCCATTTCTTTTTCATTTTATTAAACTGTTGCCTTGAATTTAAAAATACATGAAACAGTGACAAAACTACATTTTCATTGCCTAATAACTATTCTGGGAGAATTCTTGTAGAGTAATTCATACAGCGGTAGAACTTGCCAAGTAAACATATTTTTAATGATGATGACCAAAGCATACTCATAGTCATTTAAACAGGTGAGGATATCGTTATATTGCTCCCCTGTTTAAACAGGGTTTTCATTCATTTAAGAAATATGACATGATGCATGTTAGGAAGAGATAAGGCATGCCTCTGAGCCGCCATCTGAGGGGGTGAAGGCAGAGACCCCTGATGTGAGAGGAAAGACAGTGATGTAAAATGTATTTTATCTCAAAGAAGCATATGCCTTGAGGTCTTTTCATTTAAAGCATTAAAGTCCAATAAAAGAAAAAAAAAAAACTACAGAATCTTTTTCTTATTTTCCTCATCAACACGAAACGATTTATCTTACTTGCCTTATGTTTTATGCCATAAATAGAAAATGTTGATAAAAATTACTGTGCAAATAATTCTAAACAATTATTTCAAATAAATTAGTAAAACATTATCTATTGAATTACACTGATCCATTAATATTGAATTGAGTAACATCACACAGCTTATCTGAATCAGTTATCACTTAAGTAAAATACACTAATCCAGGATTTTGCATTTCTCCTCCGTAAGAAAGAAGCATCGATGGAAAGCAATAGAGGAGCATAATCCAAACAGACCACATTAAGAAAATAGGTGGCCACAGAACCTGTGTGAAAAATCTCAGACTCACACTCTTGGCACCATTTCCCCTTGTGCCTCCTGGCTGTTCCTTTTTCCAAAAGACGCTACTCATCTAACTTGATGTGAAAACCCACCGTTGGGTCATTATCACCAGGTAATGGCAAATGCAGAGAAAACCCCGCACTTCCAAATCCTGGATTCTCTCATTCCCTGGGAATGTGCTGCTTTTCAGGAAGTATTCAGGTCCCTTCTGTCAGTAAGCTCCTCACCAGGACTCTCAGCCCCACTCCATGCAGGTTTGCTGCACCTCTCTGAATCTGAAAGCAGGTTAGCACAGCCTGATCTTTCCCAAGGATGGAGAATCTAATCACAGGCTCTTTCAGTGAGTCATCACTGCTCTTCTTGTCTATTCCATGCCTAGGAAGATTTGTTTGCTCTTCTTACTCACCAGTCTTATACCACCAGACAGCTTGGCTGCCTCTCAGTTATTTCATCTGTTCAACTAGTGTTTGGTCACTCCCCTCATCATGATGTGCAGCAGACGGCTTGGGTTGTCCTCCTTCCTGCCCAGCAGAGTTGTGTTACAATAAGCATGACTTCAGTGCCTGTCAGCTAACAGTGCTGTAAGCCACCACTTATAAACTCCCTTCATGAAATTTAATGAGGATGTTTCTTAAGTGGTTATCTCAGTCCATTTTCTGTTGCTTATAACAGAATACTTGAAACTAGGTAATATATAAAGAAAAGGAATTTGTTTCTTAAATTATGGAGGCTGAGAACTCCAAGGTTAAGGGGCTACAGTGGATGAGGGCCTTCTTGCTGGTGGGGACTCTCTTCACATTCCCAAGGTGATTGAGAGCATCACATAGTGAGGGGGCTGAGTGTGCTAGCTCAGATTTCTCTTCCTCTCTTACAAAGCCACTGGTCCCATTCCCATGATAACCCATTAATCCATTAGCTCATTAATCCGTGAATGGATTAATCTTACCCTCATGACCTAATCATCTCTTAAGGACTTTCACTTCTCAGTACTGCCATATTGTGGATTAAATTTCAGCATGAGTTCTGGAGGGAACGTTGAAATCATAGCAGTTGTGCGGCAACAAGTGATGTGCAGTTTCTGGCATGTAACGGTCTGAGACAGTCATACTGCTATCTTCCTCTTGACTTAACTTTGGTCTGGGATTCAACTTGGCATGCCCCATATGCTGACATCCCATAAAACATGCTACATTCTTTTATGTGGTTTTCTACTCTGTGCCAATCTGATGCCATGTTATTCATATGAATTTAATTTAAAACAATGTGTATTCGTCAGTTTTCATGCTGTTGATAAAGTCATACCTGAGAATGAACAATTTACAAAAGAAACAGGTTTATTGGACTTGAAACTGTTTCATGTGGCTGGGGAGACCTCACAATCATGGTAGAAGGTCAAAGGCACATCTCACATGGTGGCAGACAAGAGAAGAGAATGAGAGCCAAGTGAAATGTGTTTCCTCATATCAAAGCACCAGATCTCGTGAGACTTACTCACTACCAGGAGAACAGTATGGAGGAAATGCTCCCCGATTCAATTATCTCCCACTAGGTTCCTCTCATAACACATGGGAATTATGGGAGTACAGTTCAAGATGAGATCTGAGTGGGGACACAGAGCCAAACCATATTACAATGCAAAATCATTTATTCTTTGAAATATTCTTTTAATATCACACATCAACTCAGAGCAAGAAAACCTACCATTCAGCGAGGATAATTAGGAAAAAATATCAAAAGACATTATTTTGTTCTACCAATATAGACTAGTGTTTCTCACCACTGGAAGTATATTAGAATCTCCTATGGGACTTAAAAGAATTATAGATGCCTTAACTCCAGATTGCTCATGTTCCCTTCCAAAAGATCAAGCAGCTATTCTAGCTTTTTCCATGGTTCTGACATAGCAATATCTTGAATTCAATTCTGAGGCTCTTAAAGAAATGTGGCTAACTAATAAATACCTTGAGCATCTCTATTGTACAGTAAGAAATACTACTGAAGCCATGAAATGTGTTTATATTCCAACCAGAGTTTCCCCTTCCCACTGAGGCTGAGTCTAAGAATTCCAGCTGGTAAATGGATAAAAGGAATAAACTTCCATGTAAATAATCAGGAGACTGCAATTAGGGTCTACTTTTAATTTAAACCCGTCTGTGGTAGTCTGATTAAACCATTCACCTTTAAAAGAAAATAAGACCGTTCCCTTACAAGTCATTGCCTGAGTTATCCCGGATGCTCAGGTCGCAAGAATAGATACGTTCAGGCTATGTCAAATCTTAAATAAATACTGTAGGGCCTATGGGAAAGGAAAGAAACTCCAAAACCTAATGCTGCAACACATACCAAAGATTGAAAGCAGAATGTTCTTTATCATTTTTTAGGGTAGAATAGTTGGTTTCTAGAGAGCAACTCTAGAATTTATCTCCTTAGCAAAGTATGGCATTGTAGTCTATACAGGAAACCTCTCTAGATGCTTCAAGAAGAAGGAATTTAATATAGGAATTGATTTCACAAGCCATGAAAAGGCAAGAAGATCAGCAGGCAATGGAGGGTCCCATTAGAAACAACAATACTCTGCTGTCACCCCAAGAGCTGGAAAGACAAAGAGAGAAGGTGGTGTTATAAGACACCACAAAGCATGGCGGAAAACTGGATGAAACCGGTTCCACCTGCAGGAAAACTGAACCATGGTGGGCCTGCCTGGTGGGAGGTTGTGCTATCAAATGAGGTGCTCTCAGGCATGAGCTGGAATCATAAGGTTATATAGCCTCTGTCAGGGACACCAACTGAGACAGGAAGAGAAGGAAAAGTAAGCTGGCTTTTCCCTTCTTCCTGCAGCCACATCTCCTACCAGTGCCTTCCATCAGCTTAACATAATCAGGAGTTAGTGATAGACATCAGTGCTGGAGAAATATAGAGAATGGATCTGAGGCCAAAGAGGCAAGTTTCAGCCCAGATGGCATCCGTGGCTCCCAGCTCTATCACTTCACCACCCTGACGATCCAGCATCTCGGTTTCTGCTTCGTCTTGGATCGCATACTTCTATCTCTTTGTATGTTATGAATTCAAATTCACAAAAAGAAAGGGTACGTTTGGGTTGATTAGCCCTGCTCGATTTAAAGCAATGTTATTAGGTAGAGTTCTGTGGCAACACTATTTCTATAAAACTCCCTGTGATTGAGCCACTTACCCAATCAGCTATAGATTTCTTGACAAGTCACTTGGTATAAAGCAAGATAACTACACAAAGGAAACATCCGCAGTTCATGTTCTCAGGAAAGGGACATGTTACATCTAGAAGGTACTTGGAGTTTTTCTAAGAAATGATCAGTGTTATGAGCTGAATTTGTGCCTTTCTCCCAAATTCATATGTTGAAGCCTTACCCCCTAGTTGCTTAGAATGTAGCTGTATTTTGAGATAGGGTCTTTAAGAAGGTCATTAAGTTAACATGAGGTCATCTGGGTAGGCCTTAATCCCATATGACCAGTGTGTAAGAAGGAGAGACTAGGACACAGACACAGAAGGAAGACTGTGTGAAGACAGAGGAAGAGGACGGCCACATGCAAGCCAAGGAGAGAGGCCTCAGGAGAAACCTACCCCGCTGTCACCTTTATCTGGGATTCCTATCTTCCAAAATTGTAAGAAAATTAATTTTTATTGTTTGAGCGACTCAGCTTGTGGTACGTTGTTAGGGCAGCCCTGCCATAACATATAGTTGGTAATATTAGGCTGAACTGTGTGTATAGATCAGCTGTCTTTTGAAGATCAATGGTGTGTACAATATATTTAGTGATAAGTACTTCAGTCACCAGGTCTTTTTAACATTGGTCTCTGTGTTCGTCAGCAAGGGATGCCATAACAAAATAGCACAGAGCAACTGACGTAAACAACAGAAGTTTATTTCTTCACAGTCCTGGAGGCTGGAAGTCCAGATTGAGCTGTCAGTTCAGCTTCTCCTGAGGTCTCTCTCAGTTTGCAGATGACTGCCTTCTTACTGTGTTTTCATGTAGCCCTTTCTCTGGGCAAGCTCATCCCTAATTGTTGCTTCCTCTTTTTATCAGGACACCATTCATATTGGATTAGGGCTCACTCCTCTGACCTCATCTACCGTAATTATCTTTGTAAAGGCCCTATCTCTAAATACAGTCACATGAATTTTGAGGGAATATGATTCAATCCATTACAGTCTTCAAACGTTTAATCTTTTCTACTGTAGTGGTAGCTATTCAAAGTGTTCCCATCTGGGCAGCAAAGATCCGGTCTGGAGACCCATCTAGGACACTCCTTCTGAGTGTCATCAAGTTGATCACAAATTCTGATAATTAGTCTTTAGTTCTCTAAAACGGGAATCCAAACCCTTATCTCACAACATCTTCGTTGAAGTTAGACTTTTGATGAGAGTATTCTGTGCACTATGAGTGATAAACTTTCATCATTGATATCGATATCCTCTTGAGTACAGTGTAAGTCTTAATGTTTACTTCTATCTGGAAGGTCATCCTCCAAATAATCACCAGGTCCAGCCTATTCTTTCCCCCACTGACACATTGTCTAGGTTATATTTTCCACTGGGCCTTGGTGTGACTAGATCTTGTGTCCTACGTCATTTCCAAGATGATGACTATTTACAATTTTCTCACCTATAAATGGGATAATAATATGACCTGTTTCACAGGTGTTTTGAGGATTAAATAATTCAATAGCTGTGAAACACTTAAAACAGTGTTAACTTAGGCACTGTACAAGAGTCGGCTATTAACATCACCATCATTATTGCTAGAATTGCAGATAATTTTCTTATCTAAGTGATGGTGGTGTTGTCCTATTTGATTTCCCTTTACCAGGCTTATGCACCCTCTCCCCAGCTGCTGCAGGTGTGGGCTGGCACATGTTCAGACCTGCAACCTTTTCTAGAAGATTGCCCTTGGTTGATGGGGATCGACTCCCCTAAGATATCTGGGGATACTGTGTCTCAAACCCTGGAAGCAATCCACAGCCAATGACTGACTCATGGAGTCCCCTCTGTGTAGGACAAACTCCGCTGTGGGATTCACTGTCTAGGATTTTGCCACGGGAAAAATCTGAGGCTAGATGTTTTCTGAAACCTCATCTTTCCCTGCCCCACCTTGTTTCCCTTACCCTTTGCAGGGTTCTCCTGAAAACATTCCCTCAATGAATCACTTGCACAAGAATTTGCATGTCAGGCTCAGAATTTAGGGAACCCAACCTGGAAAACTCACCTTAGAATGAGAACACGTTTTATACATTTTCTTGTCTCTACCATGATATCTAATTTAACACCAGTCTTTTGTGAGGCATGTAAACAAGTGTTTTCTCGTTAATCAGTTGGAATAGCTTCAAAACATCTCCAGGAATAAACACTGGTGATTTCAGTTTCAAAGACCTAGAGACCAAGAACGTAGCTGCAAAATACAGAAACTGTGTGATGAAAAAATGTATTCGCCTAACTTAACAGCTGATGTAAATCACAGTTAGTTGAGAGCGGTGATTGCTATTAAATGTGAGTACTGCCAGAATGATAGGATCAAGTGTGTCACTTGGAAACTGCGTATGCACCCAGAGTAACTGCGGAGAATATTGTCATTGAACACTGTCATATGCCTTGTGGATGGATGTGTCATCTTAGTGACAGCACATGCTGCAGGAAGGGTCTCTGAGGAAGTCAGAGGACAGGTCTTTATCTCTTCAGTTCTCCTGAGATTACAGGAGCAAGTTTCAATTAAAGGCAATGAAAGAATGAGAGCATCTTACACTACTAGGAACAACCAGAAGTTTCTACCTTATTTAACCTTATCGTATTTCCAATTGACATAAAAGAAAAATAAAATATTATTCAAAGATATAGAAAGCCATGGGCATCTACAGTTGAATCAGCCTTGCCCTTCCCCTCATGGCTTTCTCATTAAAATCACATAAAGTGACATAGGAAAGAGCTTTTGAAATAGCAATGCACTATGTAATTATGTGGTACTAGATGATTATTATCAACATTGCTTAAAAAATACATTCCCACAGGTATACATAAGGTGTTTAATATACATTAGTCAAAATTTGTTTAGTGGCCAGTGGTAGAATCCCAACTTATACGAGTTCTACCTTTAAAAGTGCTCAATCTCTGGGCACAGGGAGTTCCAACAACATGTAGCACAAGTCAGAGTTCCAATTGTTAAAAGTCACCACAGAGCTGACTGGGGACAGCATTTCAGTAGAAAAGAAGGCACCAACTGGCACGATCTGTCAGGCATTTGAGAGCTATTAGGACTGCGTAACTAGGACATGATATCCAATGACTATTGCTACGTGATATTGATATTCTAAATCTGTGATTCTCAAACTCTAGCATGCATCAAAATCACCTGGACACTGGCAAAACACACAGGTTTCTGGGCTCCAGCGTAATGTTTCTAATCAAGAGGGTCTGAGGTAGAGCCAAAGAATTTGCATTGTTAACAACTTCAATGTGATACTGGTGCTGTTGGCTCTGGGACCCTCCTTTGAAAACCACTCTTCCAGAAAAAAATTAATGAAAAGGTGAAGGTGATTGACAGCTAATGGAAACCAAGTGTGAAAGCCAGAGGACTTCTGTGGTCTCTCACAGGGAATCCACTTTCTACAATAGGAGGGAAGAAAAAGCTGGACCAGGACCTGGCTTAACAGTGGCCAACTCCTGATAAGGGAAAATACTCAAACGAAGGCAGGCTGTTAGGTAAACATCAGCCCCTGGTTGGGAAAAATGAGATTTTTCTATTTGAAACTATAGAACCTGGACAAAGGCACCTCAAAATTTTGAAACCAGAGTGTTCTGAAACTTTGGAGCCTGTAGTAGTAGCCCATACGTCTCCCTAGGAGCTGGAATTCCTCCCTTGGTTGAAAATAAAGGAGAGGCTTCTCTCCTGCCAGTTTCCCCAGGCCCCAACCCGCACGAAGGATTCATAGGCATTGATCCCTAAAAAATACCCAATATGCCCAAATTTATCTCAGCATCTGCTTCTGAAGAACACATCTCCCAATGATGATGCTCCTTCTTAACCTGTGTGTGGACAGCACAGCCATGGATGTGTCAGACTTACCCTACAACAGCAGTTCTGTGGCACGAGAGTCTAAGAGGCATCTCTTCCGATCCAGTTTGAAAAAATCCAGGGAAAAGCCCTTACTTGTCTTGTTACAGGTAGTTAGCCATGAGCAGGGCAGGAGAGGGCTCTTCCACAGCACCCACTGGAAATTTTGGGCGATAGTTCGGGAGTTACTGCATTGCTTCTCTAAAAATGATATTTCGGCAGCCAGGGAGAGTCTCCTTATGATCCACACCTGTTAACATTGAGCGTGTTAATTGAACGCAGGCCCCAGAGAGAAGCAGCTTCTTGGGCATGCGTGTTAAGATACAAAATGGCAAAGTATGATGTTTGGGGGGAACACACATGACCCAAAAAAGGAAAAAAGCCTCAGACATGCATGTGTATAACTCCGTATACACGCTGCACATGCTCAGGGATAAGGAAAGCACTGTGCATGCAGGAAGACCACTCTAAGGGAAGAGTCATGGGAAAGAGGTGAGCCTATAAAGTCCTAGAATCGAGGCTAAAGGCTTTTTTTTTTTTTTTTTGAGACAGAGTCTCACTGTGTCACCCAGGCTGGAGCACAGTGGCACGATCTTGGCTCACTGCAACCTCCACCTCCTAAGTTCAAGCAATTCTCCTGCCTCAGCCTCCCGAGTAGCTGAGACTAAGGCATGTGCCACCACATACAGCTAATTTATGTATTTTTAGTAGAGACAAGGTTTTTCCATGTTGGCCAGGATGATCTTGATCTTTTGACCTCATGATCTGCCCGCCTCAGCCTCCCAAAATGCTAGGATTACAGGCGTGAGTCACCACGCCTGGCCAGGCCTTTTTTTTTTTTTTTGGCTGTCTTCTCTTTTCTCCTTTTGACCTTCAGACACCCACTTGGATCTCATCCAAGGGTTCTTTCCTGTTCTAAAGCCTTTTTTGTTTTGAGACAGAGTCTTGGTCTGATGCCCAGGCTGGAGTGCAGTGGCAGGATCTTGGCTGTCTTCAACCTCCACCTCCCAGATGCAAGCAATTCTTCTGCCTCAGCGTCCTAAGTAGCTGGGATTATAGGCATGAACCACCACACCCAGCTAATTTTTTTAATTTTTAGTTCAGATGGGGTTTCACCATTTTGTCCAGGCTGGTCTTGAACTCCTGACCTCAGGTGATCTGCCCACCTCAACTTCCCAAAGTACTAGGATTACAGGCATGAGCCACTGCACCCGGCCACTTTAAAGGCTTTTAAAGAAACTTCCATCCCTGTTCTGGAACTTGCCTTGGTCCCTTTTTCTGCTTTATACCCTTCAGTAGAATTCTTCTAAGGCAGCAAGAACTGAAGTTGCTACAGCCCCATAGGGATACTCCACCAGCAACTCAGATCTCTCCCACCGCTAACAATCTGGCTTGGGTTATGTGCTCACAAACTTTGGGTGAATCACTCACTATATCCAGAGCCAGGAAGAACATGATAAGAACATCCTGGTCCAAGCCTTCACTCCTGTGGCCAGAAGCCGAGGACTATCATGAAAAGGAGGAGAAGGTATGAATGGACAGGAATGACAGCAAACAGTTCTGAATGTGACTGATGCTAATTTATACCCAAATCCTATTATATGTCCTCCATTATTTTGAAAGCTTAAAAAAGAGAGAGATGGGGGAGGATCCAAGATGGCCGAATAGGAACAGCTTGGGAGTGCAGTTCCCAGCAAGAACAGCGCACAGGATGAGTGCTCACTGCATTTCCAAACAAGTTTTCACTGCTGACAGACCAGGAGATTCCCGGGCAATATCCAGGAATACAACTAACAAAGGATGTAAAGGACCTCTTCAAGGAGAACTACAAACCACTGCTCAAGGAAATAAGGGAGGACACAAACAAACGGAGAAACATTCCATGCTCATGTTAGGAAGAATCAATATCGTGAAAATGGCCATACTGCACAAAGTTAGTTATAGATTCAATGCTATCCCCATCAACCTACCAATAACCTTCTTCACAGAACTGGAAAAATACACCTTAAACTTCAAATGGAACCAAAAGAGAGCCCGCATAGCTAAGACAATCCTAAGCAAAAAGGACAAAGCTGGAGGCATCACGCTACTGGGTTTCAAGTTATACTACAAAGCTACACTCATCAAAACAGCATGGTACTGGTACCAAAACAGAGATATACACCAATGGAACAGAACAGAGGCCTTAGAGGCAATGCCACACATCTATGGCCATCTGATCTTTGACAAACATGACAAAAACAAGCAATGGGGAAAGGAGTCCCTGTTTAATAAATGGTGTTGGGAAAACTGGCTAGAAGTGTGCAGAAAGCAGAAACTGGACCCCTTCCTGACACCTTACATTAAAATTAACTCCAGATGGATTAAAGACTTAAACATAAGACCTAACAGCTTAAAAACTCTAGAAGAAAACCTAGGCAAAACCATTTAGGACATAGACATAGGCAAGAACTTCATGACTAAAACACCAAAAGCATTGGCAACAAAAGCCAAAATAGACAAATGGGACCTAATTAAACTCCAGACCTTCTGTGCAGCAAAAGAAACAATCATTAGAGTGAACTGGCAACCAACAGAGTGGGAAAAAATTTTTGAAATCTACCCATCTGACAAAGGGCTAATATCCAGAATCTACAAAGAACTAAAACAGATTTACAAGAAAAAAACAAACAAACCCATCCAAAAGTGGGAGAAGGATATGAACAGACACTTTTCAAAAGAAGACATGTATGAGGTCAACAAATGTGAAAAAATGCTCATCATCCCTGGTCATTAGAGAAATGCAAATAAAAACCACATTGAGATACCATCTCTCGCCAGTTAGAATGGCAATTATTAAAAAATCTGGAGACAACAGATGCTGGAGAGGATGTGGAGAAACAGGAACAGTTTTACACTGTTGGTGGGAGGGTAAATTAGTTCAACCATTGTGGAAGACAGTGTGGCGATTCCTCAAGGACCTAGAAATAGAAATTCCATTTGACCCAGCAATCCCATTACTGGGTATATACCCAGAGGATTATAAATCATTCTATTATAAAGACACATTCACACATATGTTCATAGCGGCGCTGTTTACAATAGCAAAGACCTGGAACCAACCCAAATACCCATCGATGATAGACTGGACAGGGAAAATATGGCACATATACACCATGGAATACTATGCAGCCATAAGAAATGATGAGTTCATGTCCTTTGTAGGGACATGGATGAATCTAGAAGCCATCATTCTCAGCAAACTGACACAAGAACAGAAAATGAAACACCACATGTTCTCACTCATAGGTGGGTATTGAACAATGAGAACACATGGACACAGGGAGGGGAGCATCACACACTGGGGTCTCTTGGGAGGCCAAGGGAGGTACAGCAGCGGGGTGGAGAAGTTGGGCAGGGATAACATGGGGAGAAATGCCAGATGTAGGTGATGGGAGGATGGAGGCAGCAAACCTCATTGCCATTTGTGTACCTATGCAACAATCCTGCATGATCTGCACATGTACCAGAACCTAAAGTACAAAAAAAATGTTAAAAGTGAACATTTCTTATGTTTTGGCCAAACTTATTATTAGTGATACTGTATAATGCTGTATGTACTAACATCTCAGTTCCTACTGTTCAGAATATAGGAAACCTACTTCATAAAATGTCGTAAGTTAATTGTTAGGCTGTCTTCCTATTTTTGCCTATTATATTCCATTAAGCCTTCAAACTTCATGACGAAGCCGTCCCAGGCATGCCACCTTAGAAGTGTCCTTGTGCTGACATCCATGTCCCTCAGCTGTTCTTTGAGTCACGTAGCACTTCGTTTAGCATCACCCATCATACCGTTTGCTCTACCACGCAGCATAGTACTTTTCATACTTAGATAAGGGCAGGACTCAGATAAAAACAACCCTAGCTATGAGGAGAGATACTTTTTTGAGGGGTTGGGGAGATGTTCCTATGAGCATGGGAAAGTTTTCTCTGAAGAGAGGTGGAAAATTGACTTGATTTCTGATCCGAAGACGTGCCAAGTTCTGCCTGTCTCTAGAACTACAGCCACTCGGTTGGAAAGGGCAAAGAATGCTCCTAATACAAGCGAGAGTTCCAAGAAGGGAAGAAAGAAAAGGAAAGTAGAGGAATATGTGAGATAATATTTGCTTTTAGGGTGTAAAAATTAAGGCAGATTTAGGTCTTCACCAGGGGCAGTATCCTAATAGTATCTCATTCTTTAAGAGCCAAACCGTTTTTGTTCATGTTTCTTCTTCGTATCTTTCCTCCCTTCTCTCTCCCTTCCTCTTAGTTCTGCCCCCCTCACCTTTTTGTTTAATGTCTATCAGAATGTTGAAAGTGATGTTTCCCAATGTCAGTTTTCTAGAAATCCCTGCTAAAGCCCAGAAGCTGCTGCAAAGCCAGCCTGGCGATACCACTGCCTTCTAAGCGGAACTTGCAGTGAGGTCAGGCCTCACATTAGGTTCTTTAGAGGCCACTGAACAAGCTTAGGGACCCTCAACCAGTCACCTCTGTCCATACTCAATAAATAGATTAGGTATTTGAAGAGGGTGTTATAACTCAGTGACCTAGAAGAGAATGTTTGTGAGCTCGACTCTCCAAGATAATTGCTGATAGAGATAATTACTCACTAGGTTTACAAGAAGGAAAGACTAGTATCTCATTCCTGAGGTGAATGTCTGCTAAGGAATCCAACCTCTGATCTACTCTGTGTGTATGTCAATGGGAGAAGAGAATCGGTAGAGACTCCGGGAAGGGGTCAGCCGTGACCCAGTACTATTGTTACTCCATTGCTTGGAGAGGTTATGATGCATGAGTTTGCTGTGGGGCAGTTGACATAGCTGACCTCATGCCAGTTTTCTTCAACAGAGTTCCTGCAGGGTGAGGGGAGAAACAGCAGAGGCCGTGGAGAATGCCACAGACCAAAGAGCTATGGGGTGAACAGGAGAATCAAGCCAGAGCATCTCCCCGGAAAGAAACTAGATACTGTGTCATGTCCCCACTGGCTGGTATCCTGGAAATTACAAATCAGCTCCACTAGAAAGATACCCATTACTCAGAGAAAAATCCAAGGTCGGTCCCTGTCAGCAAGGGGAAGGCTCTAATAGTCCTAAGTCAGTGATGTTTGAACTTTGTCATTCCTCCTAATCCTCTATCCTATTCCCACACAGCCGGAGGAATGGAGATCCAGAAGAGGGAGGGGGAAGAAAAGTTGTAGGAACTGACCACATCTGCTTTCTCTGTTGGGTCCCTTGAGGCAACGCAGGGAGGGAGTAAAGCATTAAATAATATAAATATGGAGTTGAAACCTGACTGACCTGGACTTGTTAGACCCAGAATTACTAGAACATGAAATGTGTGAAAGATGATGCAAAAGAGATGGGAATTCAGGAGAGCATGATTGAACACCGCTATTAGAAAAGGAGAAAGCCGTATCATGTTTATATCCTAACAATTTTTAGACTGCTCGGTAAACTTCGTGCTATTTGGAGGCACTGCAATTGCACAGTACTTATATTGTCTGTCATAACACTGAAAGTTAACTGACAGCGTGCCTGGTTTTCATCAAGAATCCTGAGAATTCAGTAATCTTCATAGGATGACTAGCATGATTCATAATCTAACTCTTTGATCTAATAACTCGACCCACAATAATCTACTGCGATTTTTTAAAGTAAGCTGTCAATTGTCTTACGTGCAAGGCTAGCTTCTGTTATTTGTTACATATTCTGATAAGAACTTCTCAATGGGAGTGATAGATTTTCTATTGTATGAAGAGAAGAAACTTTGACAAATTGGCCTTTTAGACGCTGCTGTCTCTCGGTAGTCGGTTTTTATTTTTTAAGAGGAAAGCTGTTACATCGAGGCATGCGTTCAAAAGAGATTGAACTAAAAGAAGCTTGCAGTGGGCTGGATCACTGAGGACCTTCTCAGAAGCAGATGAAACGGATGTGGGCTCAGCAGTTGTTGTCGTGGACGATTCGACACTTCAGGAGCTTGAGATAATTGTCGATCTTATGTGAATCCCTGCGCAGGCAGTGGAGCAGGTTATAATAAGCAAAAAGGCGAGACTCTTCATCAGCCATCTGCAGGGATGGAAGTCCCGACCAGACAGAGTAGACCGCGTTTTCTCTGGTTTCAGGATGAACCTAACCACACAAAGAGAGTGACTTATTCTTCATATTACTAGTATTTGTATGTCCTTGCTCTTTCTGACTGTTGAATTTAGATTTGAGATTGAGATAGGAACGTACAGTTTTAGCCAAAGGCAATGATTTTTGTTTATCTGGGCCAGTGTATCAGAAACCGATTAATTTGAAATCTAGAAGAAGAATGCATGTTTAGGTTTTCTGACATCAACGTCATTACAGAAAGTACGTGTCTGCAGAAGCAGACAGATGAGGAACAGGAACATGGACGTGACCAAGAGGCAGGGAGTAGCTAGCTTTGGTTCTGTCACCTGAGGAACGGTTTCGTTTCCTGAGTCTTGTCCCTGATGTGTCCTTTGTGCTTTACTCTTCCTGGCATCGTTTATTTTCTTCCTGCTTTGAACTCAACCTAGTCCCTGAATAGCATATGTTCCAAAAACTTTAGACATGATGAAGACTGTCCTGGTACTTGATGCTTTGGGTAGTGATGACCATGACTAAGAAAACCTGCTTACACAGTCAGGAGATTTTCATTTCCTCAAGTTTCTAGGAGAAACAATTGCTTTCTTTTGAGGTCCCTGGGGTGGCAGGTGCTGGGAAAAGCACCTACAAGAAAGGGGTACAGGCCAGGGACAGTGGCTGACGCTGGCTCATGCACTTTGGGAGGCTGAGGCAGGTGGATCACTTGAGGGCAGGCGTTTGAGACCAGCCTGACCAACGTGGTGAAACCCCATCTCTACTGAAAATACAAAAATTAGCCAGGTCTGTTGGTGCATGCCTGTAGTCCCAGCTACTTGGGAGGCTGAGGCACAAGGATCTCTTGAACCCGAGAGGCAGAGGTTGTAGTGAGCTGAGATCATGCCACTGCACTCCAGCATGGGTGACAGAAAGAGACCTTGTCTCAAAACAAAAAAACGTTGGGAGGCTGCTTGCCGTAGCCCTGCAGTGGTGAGGGATGTGTGGTAGGGTTGGGGGCATGGCTGTGATGAGAGGAGGCCGAACAGCACAACAGACAGCGTGCTATGTTTCTTCACGCTCTATCAGCCTTTGCAAACCAGGAATGCCCAGAGGTCTCAGAGACCAAGTGACCATTTAGCAACTTTAGGGACGTCAGCTGGTTTGGAGAGCTCTTAGGTATATGAAACCGGGACAAATGTAGACACCGATATTCTAAACCTTTTCCTACAGAGAATATTTTTTAAATCTGGGATTTCCTATCGGAATTTAAAGTGTGTGTGTGTTTGTGTGTATTTATTGACTTGCTTTATGTTTTTATTTTTAATTTTTGATGTTTGAGTCCTAAGACAAAATTTACTGTGTAAGGAATAATGATATGAACGAGAATAAATCCGCGTAAAGAAAAGAGAACAGAAAATAAAGTACTATCGAACAAATTAGGAACCTCAGAAATTAGGTTCGCAGTAAGGAAGAAAATAACTGGAAAATCAAGGTGTTTATTTCATACGTCCCAAGGTTAAAATGTGCTTTATCTTCGTGTTGGACATATTTTTCTCCCATGAAAATGACAAAAATGATACATGATAACATGTACTTAGCACACAAAAAGAGAAATACGAAATTGTTCCTGTTATTATTCCTGGAATCATATATTTCTCTTTAGATGGTCCATTATCCCTGAAAACCTCAAAAGCTGTTTATCTCACTAATGTTGAAATCATCCCATCTGAATAGAGAGATCTATTGCAAATACTAACACAATCTAAATGTAACAAATTATTTGGGGAGATTAAATGCAATGACATGAGTTTTGATTTTCGAGTCCCAAGAAAAACAAAATTTAGAATGAGCCAACTTTCCACACATTACAAAATAAAGATATTTCAGAAAAGATATACCCCTTTCTTTTGTGACTCCCTGAAATCTAGCGCTTGTGGACCCCCTGAAATCAATGCGACGTGTGCGCATCGATGTCATGGTCGCATCACGTTGACATCTGCTCCTCCCTGACAAGTGTGTGCGGCAGGTCAGGGGTGAGTGGTTGAGGGCTCATCCAATCTGATTTTGGTTTTCTTCTTTCCCCGCTTGCACTCTCATCCTCTGGTGAGGGGAGATTTTCAACAGTGAGCGCCCTGGGATACTCTGCAGAAAAACATCTATCTTGCAGATTCTATTCTCTAGTTTTCTCTCCCTTGAAAATACTTAACTTCCTATCCTCAGGAAGGTGCAAGTCTTTGGAAGTTTTGCGTATAGTGTAGGGAAAATGGCACCTGTCACATAGCACTCTAAGATTCATTTACATTAGAACCTGTGACTAGGAATGACTAGGCTCTTGCTTTATTTAATAGTGGTCTAAACTACGGAATGCCTAAATTTCCTTCCTTCAAAGGGAAATATTTGTCATCACAGAGGTCACCGCTTATATTAATGAGAAAAACAAAGAAGCACCACGAGGCTGCTCACCTGGCTTAGTATCAGCTCCATGCCCTCTAGAAGCCGTTTGGATTGCTCCTCAATCTCTATGGCTTTGGATAGGATGGCCTCCGGGGCTTCTTGCATACCGCGTACTTCCGTGACTAGATGGTACAGAGGCTCATTCCAGGATCGCAGTATGCTGACTATCAGGCTCAGAAAGTCTTTTTGCTACAAAATCGTATACAACAATTGTATTAAAATAGATAAAATACAATGGGGTTAGTTACATGTGATTTTTGCTTAGAGAGGCTGGACTGTCTTTTTATTCCTATGTGTAGGTATATTTTTCTTTAGGTGACAGAAGTTATAGAAATGTAAAATTTAAACTACTGACCTACACTTTGCTAAAATAAAACAGAAATCTGGCTTCTTTCAATGACTACTTTTTCTGATGAGAGTTCTAATTGATAAAAATGAAGAATTTTGTTTTTCCTCTGAAATTCTACCATCTGTCCACTTAGTAAGATCTTTTGTAATTGTCTGATTTGCTTGTCCCTGGGGAGACACTAAAATTTTGCTGGAACTCAGTAGGTGCCCAGAGTATCTGACTCATGAGAAACAGATTCCACTGGGTCCATATCAAGGGGCCCAAATCACTCTCCTACAAGCATTCATTCACACTAATGATTCAGATTGTTCCTTGAACTGTTCATTTTTGATTTGTAGTTTTATTTGGGGATCCTAGAAAAAAGAGACATTGTAGATGACATGGAATTCATTAACATGGTTTCCTCGATCTAGACAACCCCTTGCCCCATGCTGCTAGCACAGCAGTCTGTTCTCTTGGCTTACGCAGGTGCATAGAATGGAACCAGCGTTATCTTGAATAACCATGGAACTCACAACGGAGTTCGAGCTGCCTAGTTTTTTTCTTACTACTGGGATCCTGCAGGAGACTCCAAGTAGCTGATTGTCTCTGATGTAAAATGCTTGCTTTGTAGACGTCTCTGAACTAGTCTAGTGGCAACAAAATGAAGAGTAAAGAAGAAGTCAACAGACTTTGCAATGGGAAGATGTGCTGGGATATGAAAGAAAGGAGCTATAAAGAGGTACAGGCCATAAAGTGCGTGTCAGCGCAGTTCTTCCGGGAGCATTGCAACACGGTGACTAAGCATGAGGGCTGTGAACTGAACGAAGCCCAGGCTCACCACTTACTTACCATGTGACTGATACAAATTCCATAACCACTCTGAGCCTCAGTTTCCTTATCTCAGTGAGCGTAATAACAATACCTTGTGTTAGACGATTTTTATGAGGATTGAATATAGTAATGCATGTAAAGTGTCTGGCAGTGTAGCACAAGTTGAACATTCCTAATTCAAAAAGCTGAAATCTGAAATACTCCAATGAGTATTTTTTTTTTTTTTAGCATCATGTAGGTGCTCAGAAAACTTAGGATTCTGGAGTATTTGGGATTTCAGATTAGTGATAACTGAACCCGTGGATCTCAGTAAACATTTCCTCTTCCTCCTCCTTCTCCCCGTTCTCTTTCTCCTCCTTCTGTTGTTATTGTAATTATTATTAATGAACAGAGCACACAGAAATGTTGGTGCCATTCCTAAAACTGTAAATGGAGAATACACTGTATTTGTAGGGGGCATGTACATAAAGATGTTTGTTTTAAATCATATTAAGACTGATTATGGTGGACAACCGAAAGGGAGAGATCATAACGATAGAGGATTGAAGCTGAGATACATGACTGGGGCTTGATAGACAGACTTCGTAGTCATCAGAACAGTGGTGATTGTTGTAGCTGTGAAAAGCAAAGTGTAATGTCTTACAGGATCTGTTTATTGTGAGAGGAGTGGTGACTTTTAACTAAGAAGAAAGAGAGGGCAGAGAGTCAGCGAAGAACGAAGCAGGTGTCAGAGAAGCAGAAATAGAACCAGAGTAGAGTCTTGAAAGTCCAGAAGAGATGGTTCAGATGGTGCAGGGGTCAGTAATGTAACGCGCTGTTGATGTAGGAGCCACTAGTAACGTGTAATAAATAAAACTGCATTTGTTTTTCTTACATATGCGTAAATGTATATTTAGCCATAGACGTCCAATTCACTTCAAACTTTCATATAGAATATATACAGACTTAGCAATGAGGCATTGGTTAAAATGACGTTATCTGCAAGGACAATTTATGGATCTACTATTTAGGTTGCTGCTGCCATCTTTACTTAGCATTTGATTTGACTCATATTTCATCAATGATATAATTTTTTGATCGCTTAGTCTTCCTGTATTTTTCCCTGCACGTACCATTACCACTAGCTATTACAGCACCTTTGACAAACTATCACCATGATAATACACGTGCACTGCCTTGGTTGTTTTGGTGCAAAGCCTGGATGAAGGACTCACACTGATCTGCTGGGCTTGCTCCTTGTCTTCGGGGGTAGCGAGGGAAGAAGTGTGACAGCTGTTGAGGGCCTTGCTAATGAACCCCCGGCCTTGGGTATACCGTTTATCCTAGAAATAATGAAACAAATTCAAGTAGTTGGGGTTGTTTGGGCATTGAATAAATGAATCTACTACCAGAATACTAATATATTTGACAGATGTGTAATTTTTAAAAATTAGAACTACATAAAAATGGAAACTAAAGAAAGTAACCCTTTTGCCTACTTCCCACCCATTATCTCTATAATCTAATTTTTTCATCTAGTTTTTCTAAATCTCAATCTCTTCCCTTCTTCGCAATTCTCTTGTTTATTTTCACCGTTCACACAGTCACACAAGTCACTGTTTGGAAAGCAGATGCTAAATACAGCAAAAATATGGAACATTAAATGTTGTATTGAGAATCATCTTTCTTCAGTGTTTCAGCCAAATGCCATAGTACAAATATATTTACCTTTATTCATTTAATCTCTTATTTACTGTGGGTCCAAACTGATAGACTTCTGTTAATAGGCATTAGAAAACCTAGCTGTTCTCTAAAAAGTTTCTGATCCCGCACACCTGTACCTTACCAAGTTTATCCAAGACATGGAATACAACTTTTTTTTTGATCATGACAAAATAAGTCAGAAGCACAGGGCACACAATTTTAGGAACTATCAACAATGGACTGAGGATAAGAACAGCTTAAAAAAGGAGCTAACACATTGACAGGAAAGAGTAGTCCTTAGTAAAACTTATAAAAGTGTAAAAGAATTACTAGGAAGGTTTGGAAGACAAAAGATGGCCAGTCAAAAATGGAGGATGAAAGAGAAATCAGAGGGAAAAAAATTTGCACTTTTATAAATGCAAATTTAGTCTCTATGGAGGCCCTTGATTTATTAAAGCACCAGTTGATTGTTTGCTTCTTGATTGACCTAGAAGAGTTAACCTATGATTTCCAAAACAGGTTGATTGGAAATAGAGTTCCTATTACTGAAAAAGAAAAGAGGGAAGGAAGGAAGGAAGGAAGGAAGTAAAGAAGGAGGAAGAAAGAGAAGGAAGGAGGGAAAGAAGGAGGGAGGGAGGAAAGGAAGAAAGGAAGGAAGCAGTGAAGGAAGGAGGGACAGAGGGAGGAAAGGAAGGAAGAAAGGAGGGAGGGAGGGAAGGGAGTGAAGGAAGAAACAGGAAGAAAGGAAGGAAAGGAGGGAGGGAAGAAAGGAAGGTAGGAAGGAAGAAGGAAAGGAAGGAAGAGAGGGAGGGAAGGAAGGTAAGGACGGAAGGAAGGACGGAACAAAGGTAGGAAGGAAGGGAGTGAGGGAGGAAAGAAGGAAGGAAAGGAAGGGAGGGAAAGAAGGAAAAAAGTCCTGGTTTCCAATTTCAAATTAGTACTTTATTGTAATTATAAACCCATATACTGAAAATCTCAAATGATTTCTAGCATTTTGGGGTTTTTGAAAAGTTATTATTTGTTTATTTTCCCCAATATGAATTCAGCTCAGTTTAATTCTATTCAATCCACCCAATTCACTGCAGCGCAGTTCTGCCTTACTGGATTGTATTCCTTGCTAAGTGAAGAATGCCTGTGGAGTATGACCCCTACGTTTAAATCACAAGAAATCAACTCTTCCTTCTCCTCAGCCCCACCTGAGCATGCTTTAGGTCAGGTGTTTAATTTTTGTTTTAGTTTTAAAAAATAATGCGAGTTAAAGAAAAAATTTAAAAATCATTATATTCTTTGAGAATCTTTGAGATTTTATGGCATTGTCCCTTTCTTCTTGTTCCACATGTTAGGAGCTGATGTCTTCTTTTACATGTTAAAGTGTATCCTTTGAAACTGGGCTCAGGAGGTTTTCTAGGTGAAAGTGCAGCATAGCCCCACGGTTCACTTGAAGGCTCCTTCAGGGAGGAAGCCCGAAGCATGGTACTTACAAATTCGCTGAACATTTCTGAGGAGAGGTTATGGATGTAGTGGGACAGGACGACGGCGCGGTCAAAGAGGTCTCGAAGGGTCACCTGGCATCTGACAGCCCCGCCGGGACAGACGGGCAAGGGAGTCACACTCTGCCACAGAAGCAGGTTTGATACCAGCAGCAGCAGGAGGGACCCTGTTTACATAAGAGCGAGAGCCACTCTGAGATGATCTATTTCAGGGAGGTTTTCAACAGCAATCCGGCCGGGGACAGCCTTATCGCTCCCCACTGTCCTCAGCTACCTGCTTTGGTATTGCAATTCCTGGGATGGGGGAAGAATCAACGTCTTCCACTGTGTAGATGTACATATGTAATGATGTTTGCACAAATATATAGTTGGAGAAGTGGGTGACTTCCTGCATTTTTGTATGTCTTCTAGAAGTGCTTTTGTACTTTGCAAACATTTGGAGCTTAAATTAATTCTGAGCTAGGGTGTTTGGATCATTCTCTTAAGGTAGTTTAATGTCTTGGGAGTTTCTGCAGATTTTCAGCAGTCAGGCTGTCCAGGGGCTTGTGTTTTTTTTTTAACTAGGTGTGTCTGATATTTACTTTTTAGACACTGATATAACAAAAACAGCTCAGTGGATCACTTTGATTTATCTTCCTGCCTGATGAGAATAAACACATGATTGTTTGACGGCTAATACTGAGTATGAAGAGAATTCTAACATAAAAATAATGCTGTAGTTTAGATCTGCTAACTCACCATCCTAATCCCATACATTTTTTTGACACTCTGCCAAAAGCATTGAATTTTTTTTTTCTATATTTGTGCTTCATAATAACCTTGTGAGAGGCACTGGGCCGTTGCAATTATCATCAAATTCTATTGATGAAACAGATGGCTAAGGGAGGTTAAGTGATTTTCCTCAAGTCCTGTGATTAGTGAGTGAGAGAGGCAAGATGCCAACACTGTGGTCTGTGCACGTCCTCTTGTCACGTCGCACACACCTGTGGACTCTCAGTCTGCATCTGTGTAATGGGGACCACATCAGTAGCCGTGATGGCTCAGGTTTGCATAGGTTGTTGCCATTGCTTATAAAGAACAAGTTCTTTGCCTTGGATTGACTGCATCACAACAGAGGCACCAGAAAACCTGATTTTATCCACGTTTCCTACTCTAACTACAAAACACTCTGACCACTGTTGAAGGTTTTCGAAGCTTTGACACTGATCAGAGATGGCTTTGTCATCAATCTGCTATCTCAGCAAATGGACAGTTACAGCCCTGTAACATATCAACAATTCATACTTTTTTTTGTTTTAGACGGAGTTTTGCCCCGTCACCCAGGCTGGCATGCAGTGGTGCGATCTCGGCTCACTGCAATCTCTGCCTCCCAGATTCAAGAGATTTTCCTGCCTCAGCCTCGTGAGTAGCTGGAATTACAGGTGCATGCCACCACACCCAGCTAATTAAAAAAAATATTTTTAGTAGGGACGGGGTTTCACCATGTTGGTCAGGCTGGTCTCGAACTCCTGACCTCATGATCCACCCACCTTGGTGCCCCAAAGTGCTGGGATTACATGCATGAGCCACCGTGCCTGGCCATCAATAATTTATACCTTCAAAAGCAAAGAAACAATATATAGCTACCAAATTAAAATAACTTGTTAACTTCAGTGGCACTACCCTAAAGAATACGCAATATAAAACTGTGTTTATCACAAAACTGAACTTCCTCAAAACCTTTAATAAATGCAATTGGAAATGTCCAAGATAAAACTAGGTAAATGCTAAAGATTAGGTTGTGAAAAAGCACCTAAACCTAAACACTTAAAAATACCTAAAAAATTGTTTAGTGTAGGAAGTGACGAAACCTTTTAATTGTAAAATAAAAGTTTTGTTTGAGATGATTCCTATTATAGACTTTTAATTTTTCAAAAACATAATACTTCCAAAAAGTTTATTTTATGCGGGCTACGATCATACGATGAAACCAAATGTATATTTTCTCCGCATGCGTAAATAAAATGTGCTTTGTAGATAGAGAAATTGGAACAGTATCCCTAGGAAATTCACAACTGGGTAGATGTTCTGTAACTCTTGAGTACATTTATGTGCATATTTAGCATGGAAGGGATTGTTAAAGCCCAAGAAGAGGTAAAATAGACAAATGTTGTTGTTCCTTGTTTCATTAGAAACAAATTTTATGGTTGTTACTAATTTATTTTCCTGCGAATGTCGACTAAGAAAGTAAAGGTGATTAGTTATTACTAGGCAGCCTGTGTTTCCTTTTGAAATGTCATTTGGCTTGAACCAAATTGACAAAGAATAGAAAATTGTGTTATTATTGTCTATTTTATGGCTTCCCAGTTGACAGTTTCATCAGGTTGATGTGAGGTGGCTAATCCACATTAAAGGCCTGTTAACCAGAAAAAGTTACTTTCTGCCTTTGACAGTTGTGACAAATCGGATCCGTTGACTCTGAGCCTTATTCTAGTTCAGAGTTTCTCAATCCTGATACTATTGGCATTTTGAGTTGAGTAAATCCTGGTTCCGGGGGCTGTCCTCTGCCTTGAAGCATGCTTAGTAGCATCCCTGACCTCTATCCATTAGATACCAATGGGACTTTTCTCTCACTTCCCCACCTCAATGAAGACAACCCAAAACATCACCTGACATTGCCAAATGCCTTGGGGAGAAGAGAATATTCCCCTGTTTGAGAACCATTGTTCCGTTCTATGGTGATTGCCTCCTAGACCAATCATTAGATTGTGCTTCTAAGCCTTGTAAACCTGCAGCCTCTTGTTATTAGTTAAAATTTCACATTAATCCCCACCCCCCAGGAGCGTTGATAAAACCAACAACCCAGTGAGTTGTCACACATACCTTTCCATGGCGACGCTTCGATGTTCATGTTGGTGATTGTTGCGAGAGTC